GTGAATTTCATGGTGGTTACACAGGCAGAGCCAGGCAAGCCAATGCCCCTTCGTCATTGGTATCCCCTACATTCTGAGATGGTAGAGGTGCGGAGGGGCCACCAATAGGGAAGGATCTGACCCCGTCCATGCGATTACCGTGGAATGAATCTATAAGAGGACTAGGTGACCATGAAGACGTTGCAGTCACAAGCTGACGATGGCTTTCCCACTCTGGGCTGGATGGGAGACCGAACCATGACTTGACCAATGGCCCTGTTGACGGCTAGAGCGTAGCTCTCGCGCGTACTAGCAACACATTGCTACCATCATTCAACCTTCATGCACTTTTATAGTGAACGCACATTTGAAAACTGATAGCGTCATTGCACTAGATTCTACTAGATTGACCGAAGTGAGCTTCTTGTCAACAAGGTTGGGCAACAGCGGCACTAAGCGCTTTAGCTCATCCTCAAGTGAAGCTGAAGAAATTCGCACCAAAGATAAGGACGGAGCAGAAAGGGCTCACAGAAACTTGTGAACTGTGGGCTGAGCTTACCAATCGCCGAAATGTCGACCTGTGATTTCTGCCGAAATATCGAAGTTTCACTAGTGGGTAAGTGAGTAGTACAGACTGTGGAATAGATTGCCTCATAGAATTCTGAAGTCTGAAGGGGCATATGGACGTTGCATGGCTTGACGTCACCACAGCACTCGTTGTATATTCTAGCGTTAGAAATCCCATACAGTGCAATAATCATTGTCGCGTCGAGTTTTTCCATCCCGATCACTAGTCCTAGCGACCTAATGGTGAAACCGGTTTCCCACAACAGTGATCCACCAGGCAGACATAAGAAAAGCGGTTAAGAGCGGCAATAACAACAATTCGGAGAAGAGTTCTGAAAACATGGAACATCTCCCCCTCTAGGCTCCTCACAGAAGAGGTTTTTATTCGGTTTTGCTATTTTATCAGGAAGTAGGAGCTGTATCGCATTCCAAATGCCGCTATGATTTTGAGTGGGATAGAGTGCGCGGCACATCCCGTCACAGCTTCAAGTCCGCCCTAAATTGCGAAGAGAGAATTCGATAGTAGTGGGGGAGGAGGGGGACGGTGACCTGCCACACGCGTTGGTTCTTCGTTCTTGGCCCAATAGGATGGCGCTGCCATCCTATTGGGCCAAGAACGCCTCCCACAGATTCGAAATCGGCCGTCAAAGTGTTAGACAATTGCGGGTTAGAGCTGCGTAAAGGAATAAAAATGGCGTAGCACCTGGGCGAAAAAAAAATCGATGAATTCAAATAATCTAATGCAAAATTTTTTACACGCATCTACAGACCAGCGAGAGGTGTTTGCGGTTTGTGATAACCTGGCCCTGGACAACGCCCATCAGGGAGCTTTGCCCACGCGGCCAGGGTGACTTGGGGGATCATATCGTGGAAAAAGTGGTTTCACCATCCTGTATACCTCAGAAAACTTACGCTTACAAAGAGGGCTGTCCAGCTTTCAGTTAGACTTTCTTTCAGAAGGCGTTCTGTTCGATTGTGCGACGGTTAAGGTTACAGAAGGGTCAGGATATCCAAACTCTAAATGCTTCTGAATAAGGGTTACATTGTTCTCAGCCTAGGCGTTCTACTTCCCCTTAAAGATTCAACTCAGTCGATATCCCCCCTCCCAACCCTCCTATGACCACTGCCTAATCCTGGGAAAACTCTGAAACAGACACCACGTCTCCATTTGGGACTAATGGTTCTTTGAATCTCACCAATGTGAGGATGGATAGCACAGGTAAAAGCAATAGAGAAAGCAATCATGATTACAAAATGGAATGTGCCAAATCCTCGTCAATCAATAAATCGATTAACGACAATTCATAAGTAGCGCAGTTGGCAATGGCTAGCTTAACCCAACGAATTTCCTGTTTGAATCGCTTCGATTTATGTCACCAGCTTTCATACAGTCTTGTTCGCAGCGGACGCTGGGGCGTTTCGGGAAGGAGGGGCTGGGTTTGGCGCGCCTCCAGCCTTTTTCTTCCAGTTGTGGTCGCTTCCAGCCTCCACAACTGGTGGAGAACAGGCTTGGGCCGCGTCAGCCCAACCCACCCCCCCCGGGCGTCCACAGCGAACAAGACTGTAGCCCATAAATCTTAAAGTGCCCATATAGTGATATCGATTGAATCCGTTTGGTATTGATCTATCACAGCGGGAGAACTTCGTTAATTTGAAACCCCATCTGTGATTAGGTGAGGCAGGCACTGAACCAACATTAAAAGCCTCCGAAACATTAACGGCATAGCAAATCCGCTTTATTGACCCCGACAACCAGTGCGATTACCGTAATCAGGATGAACCCTTGTTTTATTGATTTTCAAGGACTACAGCTGAATTTACCCGCGTTTTACCAGTAATTCAAGAGCAGGTTAACACGCTCATAGTCCGGGAAAGCAAACGGATTCTATTAAGAAAAAGCTTGCAAGTTGACTCAAGTCGCGCAGATGGATCGATAACCGTTATTGATCCGCGAAACAGAATTTTTCGAGTGATTTTCAAGTCTTTCTTCACAAATCGCAGCTAATCTAGTTGTCTAGCTGGAGCCTAATCGCGGATGCGCACTTGCGCGTTCTGTTTGCAACTCTCACCCACCACTTCAAACACACGCACACTCACAAACACACCATCACGAATAGAATGAGTAGAATTATCGATTCGCTAAAGTGTACTGTAGAAATATCGATTTTCCAGAATCGGCAGTTCACTGGAATTTGGCAGGATCGATTTTAGCCATTGACCGTTATTTAGTCGATGAGCGTGGGATGATTTGCACGAGAAGGACAGAAATTCCTAAGAAAATGTGGTCAATCGAAAAAATCGATTAATCGATCCGATGATCCGCACGAAAACAGTTCGGAATCTATATATTGATCGAGCGATTTTGAAGGGACCATTGAAGTGATCGATGAGCTCGCGCCAAAAATACCCCTATTGAAAAGTGAAATACGAGAATAGGTAGAATTCCACCAGCATGACTATAAGAATTATCCTAGAAAAAAAAGCCGAGAATTGAGAAAAAAGGGAACTGTGGGAAGAAAATTGGCGCTGTTCAGCTTGGTGGGGGCACCGAATGATTCTCAACAGGCTCGTAAAGGCCACCTTGGAGAGACGTGGAAATTCCTGTCTCCCACTGGTACCGCTTCACAGGAGTTCACAGGTCTCACTTTGGGGAAAACCTGTTATTCAACATGAACTAACAAAAGGAACTACCAAAAGTGTAGAATCCCCTCACCGAGCCGAACAGCGCCAAAAAACTGTTCAAATAAGAATAAACATTCAAGTGTGGTTCGCCAAAAGCAATAATCGATTAACTCATTTGCAAAAGCAGTAAAAACTAGTGAACATATTTTTGTAATTTTGCAGGGGGTAATTCATAGGAAATCCGAAAAAAAAGAAGACTGGGCGGGCACTGAGAAGCATAAACGAGCAATAGGCATAGCGCAAATCATGAAGGTCTACTTCGTGAAAAAATCCAAAAAGGATGTCAAGTATACTCCGATGTCTACTACAATTCTCACCAAAAATCGATATATCGATCGAGTTGGTTGAAACTGGAGAGCACAAAAATAATGAGGCACTTCACAACGTATAAAAGCAGCTAACACCTTTCTTCATTTCCCACCTTTTTTCTCAACCCATACGACAGTACAAGCTTGCAAGAAGCAGATTTATACGATTGGCATCTATCCAAAACGAGAGTTTCGGAAAAGTTCCAAGATTTCTCGAGACAGTCGCGAACACCTTTCACCTATGGGAAGGGACTCCTACTAACCGGTTCCCGAAAAGACGACCTTGCCAATCAGGAACGGTCATCCAACCGTTGCCGCCGTCCGATGAGATTTTGTTTTTTTGAACAACTTATTTTGGGGCGCATAAGATCCCCGAGATTCCGATTTTTACGTGAAACCCTGGAGTACGGCTAATTGTAAGTGAAAAGTACGCCTTGGACCAAAGAATGGGTAAATCCTCGGAAATGTGTGCATGACATGCAGTGTCTAGTGGCTTTTTCGGTTTTTTTCGGAACTTGTGTACCCTTTGCATAACTGACATTTTGATGAATGCTGATTGACACTTGTTTTCTGCATCTCTGCACTCTCCGCACTCTTTCAAAAGATCATTTTCCTACGGCTTCAGCCAGGGTACATCTTCGGAACGGGTGAAATCGCGGTGTCAGTACGACCCCGAAGAACTTCCTCTTCCAGTAGGACCCTCCCCCCCCCCAGATGTCCTCACAAACGCCCTCCCACAACCTAACGACCACATGGAGGGGTGACTCTTTTCAGGTAAATATCAGAAAGACGTTGTGCATAAGTGCGCCAAATAGAGGGTGGTCCAGCGCACGGAAAACGGGGGAAAATCAACAGATAAAAATTATCCCGTGCCTCCGAAAATCCCAAATACGACTCCTTTCCCTTGAAACCACCCAAAGATGGAGTACTCTGGCTCCTACACGCTGCAAGATATTGGCATTTCGCAAGCTTTAGGGGGCTTTCTAGTGCAAGCGAATATGATACACTGGCGAGAGCCGCTGCCAATGGGACCAAATTCCATACTGGGTTGACCGGGCATTTTCACCCAGATTGGTTGCTCTTTGACAGGGGGAGGATCGAAATAGGGCTCTTGATTGGATGGACTGCGGCACGGTCAGACGAAAGTCCAAAAGTCACTGCAACTGTGAATGTGATGTAAAATGCATGGCGCAACACAACAAAGAGATGGTCCAACACACTCGAATCGAATCGATCGATATGAGTCGAACCGCTCAATCCTTCTACCACTGCTTTTTTTGTTTTAAATCGATATATCGATTACTGCACGATCAAGGCCCGATTGATATCCTCGGCGGCAATCCCAAGAGGTACGAGGATCGCTGTGGTGCGGGCGGCTTCCTCCTAAATATATCGTGTAGTAAAGTGGTGAGCCCCACGCGTCCCTCAGCTACCCAGCCGTGCTCTACGGCTTGCTTGAATTGCAGAGACATAAAGAAACACACCACGAAGCGCGATGGGGGGTGGAAAACGCGAAGATCCGAGGGGTAGATAGCCGACCTCAGGTCCAGCTGGGTCATATAATCACAATGACAATCACACCTATACCATATGGGTGCACACAAAAACACACATTGACACATGCAGAACGGTTAGGGCAAACATAGAAAAGCTAACAAGCAGGTTAGTCAGAAACATCGGAAAACCGGAAATCGGAAATCGAAAAAAATAGGGAAACAAAAAAAATCACAAAAAAGGAAAATAAATTGGTACCTGCTGAGCCACCGGCTCGAGAATATTCTCGATCGTTTTTGTGTGGAAATACAGGCATGATGTGATGTCTGTTGTACGGCTAGGCCGATTACGAGTTCATTACTGAAAAGTGTGAGAGCTTAGAAATCGATTAGTATCAGCACCTACAGCAAAAGAGGCGTGGCCACCACAAAGGGGCGTGACCAGGAAAAAGTCAGCTACGATGGGGTGATAAAGGATAGCTGTTTCTACGAAGAAATCAGAGATAAGAATAGCACCAGAAAATAAATGTGCACTAGTTGCGTGAGCATTCGTGGTGATAAATGTCGATTCATGTGTAAACATGTCTATTGAGAGATGACTCTGCTTCTCTAAATCTCTACATTCTCGTCGGATGTCATGGCCATGAAAAATAAAATCAACAATAATTCAAATAAAAATCATTTTGTAATCAGTCATTCGGCAAATGCTTGGTTTGGATGGAATAATAACTAGGAGCGGATGCCGAAGGAGGAGAAGAAGAATGGCCGGCATTAATATTCATGACCAGAGCGCGCTGCAATTTTCGTCTCTGAAAGACATGGCGAAAAAAATTGAAGTGGGCGTGGCCTGCCGGGCCTTGTTCATTTCATTCCTTCGCGGTATTTTGTTCTGCAAAGCAGTGGTAGACTCGCAAAACCGTCAGAAGGGTCATCTACGGTACCTGACTGGGCTTAAGAGGGCTCCAAATGGTCCAGAAAAGGCTAGGAGAGCTTTGAAATGCATTTTCCAGAGAAAAAGACAATAAATTAAAACGGTTCAATTACTGAGCAGACCAAATCGATTCGATCAATAGCGTGGGCGTGTCTTCGAGTGTGATAAAGAGGCGAAAAGACAGCGATATCGGGATGATCCGTGAGCAGAGTGATTTGCCGGCAGCAGCAGCTCCAAGCAACAGCAGCAACAGCACCACAACCACGCTCCGCTCCAGAGAGGCACCAAGCAAGCGAGCGCGAGAGACTGAGACTTGTGTAGAGACACTGCGCAAGCACACAACACCCGAGCTCTACACCCCCCGTAGTGTAAAAAGGCTCGGGGACAGGGAGGATGTGTTTTGTTGGCGTAGCGCCTCTCCGCGTTTGGCCACATCTAGACGGACTCTCTCGCACCGCTATGCAAATGTGAACAACTCCTTTACAACGTTGGCGCGCGCCGCGCCCGATGACGACGTCTACGACGACGACGACGAAGAAGAAGAAGACCGGACCGGTCACGACTACAACACTATTGGCAAGCGCCACATGGCTGGCACTGACCCAACTGGGCAGGACCCACCGCTGTGATGCGCGCGGTCACTCGAGGTCACCACCCAGTCAGTTGGGTGTCACCTGCGAGTAGCTAGGGTGAGGTGGGGGGTGGGAGGGGGAGAAAGGGAGAATACCCGGATTGCGGCCGTGAACAGG